CCTGCTCGGCCCCCCCCCCAGGTCCTTCTCACCCCCCGTGATATATCGGCGCACATATACCCCTGCTGGCCCCTCCCCCCAGGTCCTTCTCACCCCCCGTGATATATCGGCGCACATATACCCCTGCTAGCCCCTCCCCCCAGGTCCTTCTCACCCCCCCGTGATATATCGGCGCACATATACCCCTGCTGGCCCCACCCCCAGGGACTATAGAATAGGTGAGTAACCAATAAGAATTCATGAGGTTAATCGACTATTCAATTTAACATCTCTAGTGTGAAATGCCTGTGTTGTTTAGAACATGTTTGCTGTTTAAAATAGCAACATATAGCTCGCACAGCACAGTTTTAACATGCCATCATTTTATTTTTATATTGAACACTCTAATTCTATAATGAATACAGATAACGTCTCAGTTCATCATGAATTATCATAAAGCATTCTCTAAAATATTCAACACCTGCATGCATGAGCTGCTCAAGACTGTTCTGTGATACAGTCCCACTATTGTTCTTGTGTAACTCGGAGATTCATCTGCCAATTCAACATATGGAATGTCCAAGAGGAATTCACTATCATAGAGGAAGGGTTTGCATTCTGCAGAGATCTGTGCTATTTGGCCCTGAAAAACCTGCAACTCAACTCCTTTTTTCTTTTGAAGTTTGCTGTCAGAGAACTTAACCAACCTAGATGACTTGTTTGAAGAGTTGTACAATGAAGAAAACAATAGGTGAGAACAAGGTGAAATTATTGGTACATAGATTTTAAGGAATGCACATACCTCTTAAATGTCCCCCACTTTAATTACATTCCACAGAGCTTTGGTATTCACTCACCTTTATTCTTAATACCAGAAACAAAACAGCATGAAACAGGTTCTAGAAAGAGCCATCTAATTAAAATAATCCCATGACATTTTAAGTTTGCTGCTTGAATAGGTCATGCTCCTCACTTGGGTCCTACATGTAAAATGGAGAAAGTTCAGAGGGCTTCATAACACATCTTTTATTTATACAACCATTGTAACTAAGACACATATGGATAGCAATGTGGTTTCAAGTGTGCATTTTAAAAATACATGTGCACTGTGCTGAGGAAATAGCCAAATATACATGGGCTGCATCTAGACTGGCAAGTTTTTCCGCAAAAGCATCCGCTTTTGCGGAAATACTTGCCAGCTGTCTATCCTTGCTGCTTGAATTTCCGCAAGAACACTGACGATCTCATGTAAGATTGTCAGTGTTCTTGCGGAAATACTATGCTGCTCCTGTTTGGGCAAAAGCCCTCTTGCACAAATGCTTTTGCGCAAGAGGGCCAATGTAAACAACGTGGTATTGTTTTGCGCAAAAAAGCCCCAATAATGAAAATGGTGATCTGGGCTTTCTTGCGTAAAACCGCGTCTAGATTGGCACGGACGCTTTTCCGCAAAAAGTGCTTTTGTGCAAAAGCATCCATGCCAATCTAGACGCTCTTTTCCACAAATGCTTTTAACAGAAAAACTTTTCCATTAAAAGCATTTGCAGAAAATCATGCCAGTCTAGATGTAAAATGGTGTTTGGTTCAATGTTAAGTCATCGTGTGTATTGCATAAACCAATTGCTACATAATTTTCAGGTTGCTTTATATTGTATCTTCTATGTATGGTGGAATGGGTTCCTCAAAACTAAGCTTTCTGGGTACTGAAATGTCCCGTTTCAGTTTCCACCCTAGTGTTTTTCAGAACCTGTCTTGTACAGTGTTCATAAACCCTTTCAACTGCCCATTTGAAGGAGCCATATTCTGGATGAGCGAATGAATATCAGCAATCTGCATCCTTGTGCACCAACAACACACTATCTTTTCCCCACATGAGGACTCCCACTGAATCTGCCTGGGCTCTCTGAGTCCTTGACTTAGCCCTCTCCAGCATCAAATCCACTGGAGCTATGGATTTGGGAAGGACTGGGAGATGAGGGGCACCCTTTTTTCTTTCTCGTTTCTGCATGCTCATCTCTTCAGATACCCATCAGAACCATTCCCTACGTGTTCTCAGCCTCCTCCCCACCCCCTCCCGGGCCCCCTATAATGTGTACCCTGGTTTTTCATTTTGGAAAGCTGCATTGGTGTAGCATTCTACAGAGCACACAGTTACAGCTATCAGAGAAATTTGGTGATGTCTGAATGCTCAAACTGCATTTTCAGTGACGGGAAGATTTGTTTTATGTTCTGAGATTAAGTCGCCAGATGCTGAACTGGCTTTTTTTATTTTATTTTATTTTTTTTTTTGTGGTGATTGACTTGTAGATTATGGCATAAAACCAAAGAAAAATTAAACTCCCTCCATTTCTTGTCAAAAATATGGTTTGGATGGGAATTGTGCAAATGGTTTCTTTCTTTGTTTACCCACTTGTTTCTAATGGTTACTATTCTTTTCATCCAGATCTATTGATTTAAGGAGTTCCTTGCTTTGCAATGGAGTTTTTATTTAAAGTATTGCAGGGAGTGACTGCCACCTGGTGGCAAAGTCTGTACGAAAGCAGAACAACCACATTTTTCATACACACACAATTTTCAAAATTACAAAAAAGGTGTGTTAGGGTTGCAAAGTCAAACACTCAGAGGTAGGCAATGCCAGAATGATGGTTGACTTTAAATTCAGCACTTTAGTGTCTGCATTATGATACAGTCAATCCTGACTTGATCAAGTACTATTCTTTCTCACAGGGCTTCTCATTCGTGTTTTATACATGAGGAACTGAAGACTCCAGCGATTATGGCAAAATTGTCAAAAGTGTCTATTAATTTTGGACACTTGAAAAGCTGAGGCCTCTAGCATTGTGTGGTACTTTTTATGTTCAAAGCACATTTCCAACTGAGTTGCAGTGGTTTTGTGAGAGCTAAGCATTGCTGCAAATCAGATCCTCAGGCCATCAAGTCAGGCACCCAGAAAAGAAGATACACCCACTTCATGACCACCTGAGGAGAGCTTTGTGTAAATGGTTTGTCCAGTATTACATAAGCCCTTTGTAGCAGAGACATAGGTAGAATCCTGTTTCCCAGGGCAGCATTCAACTAAATTAACCATGAGACCTTTCTTTGTCTTCCTGCAACCCTCTCCCTCATTCCCTGCACATCTGGAGGTGCAGCTTGCCATTGGTTCTGACAGAAGTCAGTGCTGCTGCCACCCATGCCTGCTCTGCCTGTGGAAGACCATCTGCCTGCTGGACTGCTGACCTGACGGCCTCCACTTACCCCTCGTTGCAGCAGAGAATCTTTCACCTGCTTGTAGATGCAGGTATGACTTGCTCGCTCCCCCACCTCAATTTGTACTGAACCAGTGGGCTGCCTTCTCCTATTTGCCCACTAGCCCTGCTTAGAATCGCCAACACCTGGACTGGCCATGAGGCTCCTGGAATCAGGCTCAATCTCCTGAAAGCCACTGAAGTAAAATTGGGAGATTTTAGGCCTCTAAAAGTTCAGTGGTACAGTAGAGCTCAACAGGCTCCTACTGGCATGGTTCCTAGAACTGACTGGCATGTGTGGCCGGTGGGGGTGGGACCTG